TGGATATTGTTTAACGCTTTACTCGTTATTGATGATGGCGGACATCGTTTAATGGCTTACTCGTTGCTGATGAAATCCAGGATGTCATGCTCCAACTTTAGCAGCATCATTCTGTCCCTGAAACACAATGAGGCACAGAAACGTACCACCACAGTTATGAGGACAGATGTGTGTCCACCACGCACCCGCTACCCTGCAGACAGGAGGACATACCCGTTAGATAGCCTGGCTGTGAAACAGTAGTTAATCTTCCGCGGGTGATTACAAGGTGGTAAGTTAAGGGGGATGTGGGACTAACCTGGGGTTATTTTGTAAAGTGTTTACTAGGAACTCATGGAGATCGATACCAGTTGAGTCTGTGTATTCCTGACTGGAATCTGAACAAGAGAAAAATAAAATTAGAAAAAGAAAAAGAAATGAAATCGATAAAACTGCCAAGCCCACACACACACACATGCACGCACACACACACATACACATACACACACACACATACACACACACACACAAACTCACCTCTGGAGAGCATCCTCCGTGAGGCTTTCTCCCATTCTTCTGTGTTCTTCCCCTTCTCATCTTTGTCTCTGATGGGTGGCTCACTTTTTTCAACCGGTTGGGAGAAGTGGATCTGAATTTTATCCTGGTGGGTTGGGGAGGGGGAGGGATGATGTCAATAACTCCTGCATTCAATAACAGCCCAGCTAAGTTTCTAGACATTTCCAGTCATCTGCTGCAGTCACTTTAAAGTTAATTAAACAATATTACAGGGGATTTGATGGGCTTACCAATGCAAACAGGCCTATATGAGGGCTTTACTGTGAGCCGTGCGATTTATTACGCAAAATCTTCACCGCTTCACCACCAGCCCTGCCAAACCCTATGCTGCCTATTAGGACAATAAGCCTGCAGACGCAGGCGTTTTCACAATTAATCTTGAGGGATTACTGTGTTTATCCCTGCGGGAGCTGCACAGTCCTGCAGCTCCATGCAGTGGGGGAAATTAGTGTACAGGCGGGGAGTGGAAAAGAGACAGAACCTTGTGCTTCTGTTTAACACTAAAAAACAACAGCTGTGATCTGCAAAATCTGCATGCTAACAGCAGAGGGGAGATGGTGGAAACTCCACCAGGCACAGTCCACGGGGGACGTGGTGAGGAAGATGGGTGAAATGCCACCGGGCACTGCCCATGGGGAGGGTGGCGGGGGAGATGGGCAAAGTGCCACCAGGCACGGCCCCTGGGGAAATGGCAGGAGAGATAGGAGAAATGCCAGCAGGCAAAACACCACTGCGCACAGCCCATGGTGGACATGGTGGGGGAGATGAATATGACTGGGCTTAGCCCATGAGAAGCACAGCAGGGAGCCTGGGCGATACACCACCGGGCACTGCCCGTGGGGTGCATGGTGGGGCAGATGGGTGAAATGCCAGCAGGCACGACCCATGGGGAACGAGGTTGGGGAGACAAACGAAACACCACTGGACAGGCCCAACTGCGAGGGTGGTGAGTAGGCATGGCCCACTGGAAGCGTTGCAGGGGAGACACGGCGCACGTCCTCCTGCTGAGGACGGAGCTCCCCCCCCCCCATCCTCAGCTTTGCCACTACAAGGAACTTTTCAGTCAAACCCCTTTGTTTATTGCCAGGGTTCTCCTCTGGACTTTTCTTTAAACTTTGGCCACCCCTCCCTCCTTCCCTCCCCCCCTGCACCTACACTCTGCACCACCCCCTAGGCTCAGAAGACTCAGCAGCTCTCTCCCCCCCCCCGCAAATCTGACAGAGGGAGAAAAAGAATCTGAACACGCTGCCTCGCTTTGAAAGGCGGTACAAAGCAGACCAGCATGTTAACGGGTGCCAAGGGAACAGAAGATGCTTCAAATAAAAAAGCAAAGCCTGCAGGGATGGGAGCAGAGAGCCAGAGGAGCTCAGAGCTGCCCTACAGGAGGATGAGAGAAGGCCGCAGAACTGGAGGATCGCGGGCCGGCCAGAACCTGCACCTGTGCCTGCCGAACTCAGCACCTTGTAGAGAGGCCTTCACCTGCTTGCCGTAAAGCTGGACAGTGAACAGAAGCCCAGTACTGGCTGAGTACCCCGAAGGACTCAAATGTTTCTCGGGAAAAACACGAAGGAGTGGCATCAATGTAATGAAGATCAAAAAAACAGCCTGTACAGATATATCAGAAATGGCATTTCTGCCTAAAGAAAATTGCATTGTGTGTCTTAGCTATAGACAAAGTGAAGGCAATCAAATCAAGTCACACCTAGCTAGAGCTGACAGCTGAGAAATGGCCGTGCGCGGATGATGGATGTGTACAATCAGCCAATGCAGGATCCACTAACAACCGAAAATAATACTGAGAAATAAACCCTCTGATGACTGGGCCTGGCTCTGAATCAGTGCTCTCGCCGGCCGAGGCCCGGAACCCCGCCCCCACACCACCGGCCCAGAGGTTTACCTGGAGTCCTTGGGCCCGTTCTGCGCTAGGGGGAGGAGACGGCTCTTCACACACGGCCAGGCTCCGAACTAACTTTAACTTTGCGTTAGACTAGGGGAAAGTGTGGGCAGGTGAGAGAGAGGTCAGAGGTCAGAGGTCAGTTGCAGGCACAGCAGCATGCCTTTGATGGATGGGCCCCGCCCACAAACCGCCTTGCACCCCCTCATACTTCCCCAACGCGTAAAACAAAAAAATCACAACTGCGCGATATTCACCAAAGCGTACAGACAGACGCATTCCGCCACAGGTCAAGTAAAAAATCTAGAAAGTTCAAAATGCGTCACGATTTGCAGGCAGGCATGAAGACAATCTAGCACAGGTAATGCTGAATGGAAGGAAAACGTACAACAACTGGTTGTTAAACTCTGCAGCAGCTCACCAGCAAAAAAAAAAAAAAAAAACACGTTATGCACCAAGCAGAAGCCGAGCTGTGGCAGGCATGAGGCAGTGCCGCCGTTTACCTTCAGCCTGTCTTCCACCTGTCCGGGCTTCAGCGCGGGCTGCTGAGCGGTGGCAATGAGAGAGAACGGGGAGTCTGAGAGCCGGGCACACACGGGCACACGCGGGCACACGCGGGCACACGCGGGCACACGCGGGCCACCACCGACAGCCTCGCCATGACTACAGGAACCGCCCCGGAGGCCTGCGCACAATCACATAACGCAGCTATAACGAGGGCGCATCTGCAAACTGGGCCATCGCGCTGCATCTCAGGGTGCCCCGAAACGTCCTACTTTCTACTTTGACGCACTTTTCAGGTTGTGCTCCATGCGGGGGCTCGCCCAATCAGCAGGTCCGGCGTCGACAGCAGAGGCCTGCTTACCGGGTAAAGTTGACTCCAAGCCACCCCATAATTAGTCTGGAAAATGCATTATCCATATCCTCCTCCTCAAACCAGATACATTACACTACATAATTTAAGCTAAGTATATACGGAGCAAAGTCATTATTTACCTCAGTGTTATTTTTGCATTTAAATAATTAGGTTAAAATGCAGTTTGTTAAAATGAGTGAATGTGATGGGGATGAATGTGAATCTCGCCCATGATGAGTTTCCAGTGCCGCTGTGCCGGTCTGTAGAGCCTCTAGCTGTATGGGATGTCAGTAACACAAGTTTCTTTCTTACACAATAGCATATTTTTTGCTAGTAAAGGAAGAGCTGTAGAGGGTAACCATACAAGTCAAGGCTGAGGTGAAATGGAGTTACTGAATGGTTTCTGTTAAATTAAGTGACTGTTACAAAGCTTTAACACTATTGGATATCATTACCACCATGCTGATGCCTGGTATTTTAGAAACGAACTGACAGAAGGCGGACTGCACCAAAGGACAATATGAAACTTTTGTTGTTGGATCAATCGTCAGTTAAAAATCAGAAATAGAGATAAACCCAGAATTGCAGAGTGTAGCGGGGTCCAGATTATCCGTCTCGACCCATCCTGTGAGCCCCCAATCTCACACAGTCAGATGGCCAGCATGTCACTGGGTGGGGGGACACCCTAACCCGGCCTCCCAGGCAGCAACATCCCCCCACAGGGACGAAGGCCAGCGGAACAAGAAGCGGTTCTGCTCGCGTGCACCTTCAGCGGACAGCGACGGGTCCAAGTGGACGGGCTGCACCGGGGAGCGGAACACGCGGACGGGAGCCTGGCGGCCAGCTGGCGCTGCCACTCGCACAAACATAGGAGACAGATGGCGGGAGAGTCTGCACACGCCAGCTTCCCTGGGCCGCACACGGGAAGTTCGCGGATAAGCTCGGATTTCAGATGTGAGCGATCTGCTGGCTTCCGCCAAGCCGCTTGCCGCAGATCCTGGCGTCCAGCACCTCCGTACGCGGTGGGGGGACGGGGGGAGGGGGGGCTTCATGTAGTTTCACAGCCGCTCTCAAACTGCGCTCTGACCTTTGGAGATGTGAGCTGAGGAACCTCACGGCTTTCTGAGGGCCTCGCTCGCCCCCGGCCCGAATACCGACCGCGGAGACCCGCATACGGCGCCCGGCTATTGCGGCTCATCTCGCTGTCCCTCGGGCAGGAGCTTTTACCTGCGATTCAGCCCTGCCACTGTGCAGACTGGCATCCCTGCTGGCCTCCGCCGGCTCCTTCTGGCCTGTCGCCGGCTCTGCGATCGCAGCCTCAGGACCCCGTACTGCCTCAGCCTCATCTTTTCCGGTGACAGTACCGGACATCCTCATCGGAGATGATTACGTGGAGCGTCTACCAAATGCTGGGGACCTACAGAGAGATTAATGCAACTTTTAGAAGCCAGTGCTGTGTGGCAATGGAAAGAAGAGACAGTGATGGCGCCCCCTACAGTAGCCAGCATGCGAAGGTTTTAATTTGAATTAGAGGTAACACATGTAACTAATGAACCCATGTGAGTTGGCCGGTGGGACGTGGGTAAGACGGACATCTCCACCCTAAGGGGCACCTGGTGCGTAGGGGGAGCCAGCAGAAACCTGCTAATTGGAGCAAGCAAACACCTGTAACATCTGCTCCCCCGAAACATGTTTTCTGGAGGTGGTCTCGGGGAAGCGGATCGCTATCGTCTCCTCGCATCTCTGAGATGCTGACTGCCACGGGCAGACCGGGACGCAGATGCATTTACCTGATGTGCTCTCTGCTGCAGGGCGGGTGGGGGCCGGACCCGGGGGGGCTGCTTGTGCTGAGCCTGCTGGAAGCCCCAAAGAAGTGTCCCATGTCCCCCTCAGTAGCGGCGCAGCCAGGTCGGGGCAGGGCTGCCGTGCCACAAGCCGCTCATGCCCCTCCGAGACCTGCCGACGGAAACGGAGGAGGGGCCACAAAAGGATGAGTGCAAAGTAGACCAAAAGCCCCTGGTTTCATGACAATGGAAGCAATTCATCATGGGACACCATTAGACCACACAGGCGTCACTGGACTAAAGAATCCATTTTGATTTGCGTCTTGTATTTAAATCCAAGTGACCTCAGCTTACGTGTGATCTCTAACCTTTGCCCTTGCAGAGATCTCCATGGAAACGGAGCCTTTGAATGAGCTCCCCGAGTCCCTGAGGACCACCACGCCCCAAATCAAGTGTGCTTACCAGCAGTTTATGAGCATGTCGGTACTAATGTTGCACTAAAACAGAAGGCAGTGTGTGGCCGTTCGCTCACCCCCCCCACCCCCACCCCTACGGGAATATTCTGGAATTGCAGAGAAAACTGGAGGTGGGGCAAGCTGAGAAGAGGAACAAGCAGCAGCTTTCTCAAAGCAGCATCGATTTTTACAGTTGAGGTGAGAGAAGTACTTGGAGGGGAGCGAGGTCAGAGAGCAATCGGCCAGCAGTGTGGGGGGGTGGGGGGATTATATGCATTTCTGCTTCAGCCAAAAGAGAAAGACACTCGTGTTTTTCAAATGAACTGAAGACGGTCCCTGGGGAAGGCAGAGTGTCTAACCCCGGCCCTTGGGAAGGCATCCGAGGGTCACCATTTATTCATCTTTTTATTAATGGATTGCACGCACGGCCACACTGGTCTTACCTTTCCCAAAACTGACCACTCCCTCAGAAAGCAGAGAGAGAAAGACCGGCAGACAGAGAGAAGGATGAGTGTCCTTTGGAGAAGGAGAGAGCAGGGCCTCCCCTGGAAGACCGGGTCACAGCCTGGCAGCGACCGATGCCGACACCTGCAGCTCTGCACCACGACCTGCCAGCTTCACACGCAGGCGGCAGGCCAGGCACCACGGGCAATGGGCAGTCTGGACAAAGACTCACAGCATGGGGGCGTGGACACAGCCCCCACACACCACCCCCACACACAAAGGGGGGAGCGGGGTTAACAGGGGAGTTAATGGGACTGCGGTTTGCCTTGCTATTCCTCCCCTGAAATTTTTCAACATTCAAATGAAAGCTCAGTTGTCTCCTAAGCCAATCACACCTCGATGTGCGGCTGCCATTGATTTTGCTCCCGCTGCTCGCCCCGGTGTCTGAAAAGTTAAGATTTATTACTCCTCATGTTCTTTCATTAGAGCTGAGTTTAGTGGGGCGGGGGGAGACGGACCCAGCTCAGGTCTGACACCCTAATTATTTGCCAATTTGTCATGCGCCGCCCCGGTCCTAGCCAACTAAGAATGTATCGCATATATTGCATATACGTCTGGAAAGCAAATGTAACCCGTGTGACACAAACCTAGAGGCAGAGCCTGTACACATCCTGCAGATTCCTTAGCTCGCATGTTAACACGCACAACCCTTATTTATATTAGTGGAGGCTTTGTGTCACAAACTACATAGGAATTAATTTTCAAAATAGCAAAATAATAATGTCTGAGCCCGAGTAAAAGATCAGACAGGGTCAGAACTGATTTTAGTGTGGAGGAACATAAACAAATCTTTACTTGATTAACGCAGGAGATAATTCTGAAAGGGGAGATAGGAGGTCAGCGCAGCCCCCAGTGAGCAGGAGAGCAGGGAGACAAGTTGGAGACTGGTGAGATATGATGGGGGGGG